GTTATAAAATATGTTTTGACTATTTTTTGGTGTGTTATTTAATTTATCAGAAATGTGTTCAAAGTCTAATCCTTTTATTTTCTCTTTCAAACTGTAGCGTGATTTAAAACTTTAAACCTTTCTGTAAATTTGTTATCTAAAATTTTAAAGTGACAAGTATTGTTCATTAACATTAAACTCTTATATATGAGAACTAATTCTTGAATAGACATCAAAGTTCACTGTCTTATTTAAGTAGCAAGAACTTTTTACTTAAAACTTAATTTTAATTGCATTGGTACTTTACATATCATACTTTGGCAGTACAGCTTTACCTATGACGTGTAGCATATAGTATATATTGATAACATATTATTAGAGAAGTGTATCTGTGTGTGTGTGTGTGTGTGTGTGTGTGTATTACCCCTGAATTACCATGGTTTTCTTAAATGGTATGTATAACTGGTCAGTCAGCCAAACCTTATGTATTTATTTTGGCTCTACAATGTGTGGTAATACTTTTCAGTTTGTGGATATCTGATACATTAAGATTATTTCACAAGTATTCATTATGAATGTGCATATAGTTATTTTGCAACTGACTCCTTCCAAATACTTGCAGCCAAATACTGGCTGGAACATCCCATATCATGTTGACATTTTCCTGTTAGCTTTCTATTACATTTGCTAGTTTGTCTATAATGAAACCTATATATACTGTGTATGTTACAATATGCCTACAGAATATCTTTTGTAGAAAGTAACATACAGCTAGTATTCAACATAGAGTAATTTCTTATTTTTCTTTTATAGTCTCCAGTGAACTGGTAATATTTGTTGAATGCTTGTGTTCTTGGTAATTGCTAAAGCATGAGGTCTGTTTTTTTCTGAATTTTTAACAGACCAATTTTGCTGTTCACAATTGAATCCAGAAAGGCACTTCATCCATCTCTTACTGTTAATGCCAGTGAGCAATACTTCTATGCAACAAAAATGCTGTCACTTGATCTCAGTGTGAATCAAGTCTAAATTCTCCTTATACCACTGATTAAACCATACATGGTAAGAGAGTACTCAGTGTGTTTAGATTAGAATTTTTAAAATGAAAGGACCAGCACGTGAAATTTTAAAATATATTCTTCTGTAAAGGAGATTTCTTTCCCTTTTATATTTTGATGACTATTTCTTTATATGAAGATTAAGGTTTGTTCTTTTATAAAATTATTTAAATCATGTTTCCTTTTTTGGTTTTTTTCCCACTATTATATTTACTAAAGTATCTGATTTACATGAAATTTGGCACTTTAGGGTGTTGGTTTTTCTCACAAAGTATATTTAATAAAAAATGCTCTGTATGTAGAAATGTGTCAGTATTTCATTTAAAGAAAAATAGTCTTGAAAATTAGTCTGGTATAAGCTTATTTTTCAGAAATGAAAAGAGAAGAATTCCCAAGTGAATTACTAAAATAAAACAAAAACTTGTATTAGATCATTTATTTGATGGTGAGGGTAGTTCTTTTTGTCCTTACATATGAAGAATTTTATTAAAGACCAACTGTGTGATTACTACAAATTTAGTTTGTGTTGAAATAATCTGACTGAATCAGCCAATTCAGTAAAATAAATTTATTGTCTACTGTGATCCAGTGACATTAGACACTGGAGATTCAGCTGAGAAAAATATAGACCAAGTCTCTTGATCTTATATTCTAGTGGAGAGAGATAATTGATAATCACACAGGAAATTTAGATAGTGATAATGCAATAGGAGAAGTAAAGCAGGGAAATGTGATAGAGACTGACTTGAGAACTGAGGTGAAGAAGATTAATTTGGGTGGTTAGGGATTTTTTTTTTTTTTGGTACCAGGGATTGAACTCGGGACCTTGGGCTTTTGAGGCAGGTACCAGAACCACTGAGCTAAATCCCTGGCCCTAGGGATGTTTTTATAAGGATTATCAGTGTTCAGCAGACCAAACTGCAAAGAATGCAGGAAGACTCTGGGAGGCGTTATATAAAAGAAACAGGTAAATGTGGCCTTAGGGAAAGGAGAGAGACTGCAGATGTAGTGAGGGTCTATCCTACTTGTAAGACTAAGGATTGAGGATTTAGCTCAGTGGCAGCCTACCTGCCTGGCAAGCACAAGGTCCTGAGTTTGATCCCTGGTACTGAAAAAAAAATTCTTACAAGACTAGATCTAAATCTGGATTTTATGGCTTCTCTGACTGGAGTTGTGACTGCTCTTCTCTTTTTGCACCTGCGATTTGGATGAGTTTGAGTAATGTGCTACTTCTCAGTCTTGCACACTGTTGTTCATAACACTACCACTGATCTCTACTCATTGATCATTGGTCTCTATGTCATATATGCAGAATAAACTGACACTGCGTGTCAATCTCTGCTAGAAAAAGTTCACTACAGAATCTGAGATGACCCCCAAACTTCTGAAGAACAGAGTGCAGTTACAAGACTCGCTTACTTTGAAGCAGGTACAGCTCAAAAATACTTTGTATTGTCCCCTAGGATTATCTACTAAAGTGGATTAGTATTCACTCAACTCTTAGAAATTAATCAAGTCCCCACAAGAGTCCTCTGGATAAAGAATCATCTAAGCCCAGAGAGTTGAAAAAGGTTTAGCTTAAAAGGTGAAACAATGTCTGTCTGTCTCTATATATAGTCTGTCTGTCTCTCTCTCTCGAAATAGTTTTATGTATGTAGCCATATATATGTATGAGCCCTCTGAGTCTCCAACAATGGGCAGGGTTAGAGTTGTTCTGCTGCTGACTATAGACATTTTGCTGAACTACAAAGTGCATAAGCACATACACATAAATAAATACATACTTCTATGTTCACTGGCTGCAGATATACAATGAGCAATTTGGACATTCCATCAAATACACAAACTTGGAACTGTAGTAAACATTACAGACTGGAGGACATTTGCCTAGAGACAAGACAGAAAAAAAAACAAAACCAAACTGAAGGACCCTAGTTAGCAAGACAGACTCCATATTGCTGCTTGACCCACCTGCCTGCCCTTTAGATGAACTCAGAAGGAGGAAGCTTAAAAACCTCCTCCCCTTAGAAAGTCTCTTTAGAAATAACAATCAACTATTGTTTTACAAATGTTTTAACAGCAGGATGTTCTGCTTCTATACCTTTTGCTTGCTTTACTAGTTCTATCCCATAGGGGGACCTAGAAACTGTTGGCCTCAAAGGTGTATAAAACAAGTTTGTCAACCCCTAGTGGAGGCTCGAGTCCGATGCTCGGCTTGGGTCCTGGCTGGTAATAAACTCCTGTGTGGATTTAATATCGGTCTCTGGTTGGTTCTCTCTCACTGGGTGTAACAAAAACTAAAAGGGGGCTGGGGATTTAGCTCAGTGGTTCCACCGCCTGCCTTGCAAGCACAAGGACCTGAGTTCGATCCCCAGTACCAAAAAACCCCCCCAAAACAAAACAAAAACTAAAAGGATTCCATAAATAATCAACTATTGTCAAATAAACAGAAAATGTTTGAAAAGATGGGCAATCTTGGCATCTACTAAGGCCTTTTAAAAAGCTGTAAAGAGGACTTTGAAAAATGGGAGTTATATTTAGGAAATTTGGGAGTTAAAGTGTTGATAGGGATAGGAATTGAACAAATCAACCAGAATGGGACAGGAAATATTCCCCTCAAATATAAGATACTCTAAAGTAAATTAAATATTGCCTTAAAAATCTAAAACCTTAAGGGCCTGGGATTTAGCTCAATGGCATTGTGCCCGCCTGGCAAGCACAAGGTCTTGAGTTCAATTCCTGGTACCAAAAAACAAAAACAAAAAACTAAAGCCTTAAAAGGCACAATTCAGATTTTTTTCTGTAGTGCATTTGGAGGAAGCAGTAAGAATTACTCAGGAAATGTAATTTCCATTTTCCCTCCTAACTTTTTAAAGATGAAAGAATATAAATCTGCTTTAAATAAAGTTTTAATTTGAAAATACATAATTAAAGAAAGTAGCACTTACTGAGCTTCACTAAATAACCAATCCAATTTTAAAAATCAGATGCAATAAATAAGAAAGGATGGTGATGAAGAGTAGGTCCTAAAAAATGTGCTTATGCAGTGGTCACGTCGGCACCTTTGAATTATATGCGAATACATGACATCAGGAAAACTACGTGACTTCAGGAATATTAGGTCAATTTCAGATCACAAACGAATGCTATCAAAATATGGCCCTTGGAAATGAGGGTAGCCAGCCCAGTATACTTAAAGACAAACGCCTAATTCTGGCGGTGCGGCAGGGCTCTCTCTTCTCTGCTGTGGGCAGAGTGCATCTGAATGATATACTTTCACAATTTCACAAGAGGTTTCGAGGAAACCTTGAATCGTCAGAGGCTCAATTAGCATAATGCTGTACATTTGTTAAATGTCCAGCAGGAGACGGCAGGGCAATGACCTCTACACCCGGGTGCGGGGACCAACCCAGGACGGAGTCTACTTTCGGTTCATCTCATCTGGCCGCGGTGCGTTCCCTAGGTCACGGAGACCCGGCGTCCCTCCCGCCCCGCCCAAGCCCCGCCCACCGACTCCTCCCCAGCCATAGGCCCCGCCCCGGTGTTGTAGCTACAGCGGAGATGAGGATGACGTGAGGAGGGAGTCGCGAACATCTACCTCCTCTGGGCGCAGCTGGGCCGGCGGTTCCCACAGCCCCAGAGTCCGGAGAGCTCAGAAACGCCTCTCGGAGCTCCTCTCCCATCGACCTCGTCCTCTTCCCGGGCCAGGCCGCCTCCCGCGCGGCCTTTGCGGCTCCTGGCACGGCCCCGCGCTCGGCTGCCGCCCTGGCGCGTTCCACTCTGTCGTCCCCGGACGGGCGCGGACCAGCTTGGCCCGGGCGCCGGAGGCTGGGGAGGGGGCGCTGGCCCCGGGGCCGCGCATGCGCTGCCATCAACCTGGGGCTGTCGGTGGAGGGCGAGTGCTGGCTCCGAGGGGAAACGACGCCCATCGGGGCCAACGGGCCCCACGCGGGTGCGGAGGCGGCCATGGGAACGACTCATCCCTTTTCCAGCCCTGGGACAGGGCTGGGGTCGGGGTCGGGGCCCATGGGGGCTCCTCCCCCGTCTCCTGGCCTGCCCCCTTCCTGGGCCGCGATGATGGCGGCCCTGTACCCGAGCACTGACCTCTCGGGCGTCTCCTCCTCCTCCCTGCCTTCCTCCCCATCCTCCTCTTCGTCGCCGAACGAAGTGATGGCGCTGAAGGATGTGCGGGAGGTGAAGGAGGAGAACACCCTGAATGAGAAGCTTTTCTTGCTGGCGTGCGACAAGGGTGAGAGCTAGGCCCCTTTCTCTGCCTCTGGACGCCCCGCGCGCGCCCCCCGGGTCTCCCTGCCTGCACTCACTCGGGCATCCTCTCCAGCCGCCTGTCTGTTCTCGTAGCGCCGCCTCTGCCTCGGGAGTGTGGAGCTGGCGGGGTGGTGGAGCTGGTGCGCGCGCCGCCTCTGGGAGCCGCTCTGGAGGTGGCCTCCCTTCCTGGGGTCAGGTGTGGAGGTGCCTTCGTGGGAGCTCAGACCCCAGAGTTTTAGCCCCATCCCAGCTACTGACCACGTGATCTGGTCTATTTCTACCCTCACTTCTTTCCTATTGGGAGCCGAGTGCCAAGTTTCAGACCTTGTGGTCTGAAAATTCTGTAACATTTCCTTAAGATTTCTCCTTTTTATGGGCTCTGACCTGACTTTTTTTTTTTTTTTTAAAGAATCTTTCTTCTGATATTTAGCGTTAGTTGCCCAATGCCTTTATCAGTGATGGTTAAATGGAATTAGGCATTTGGATATCCTAGGTAGAGAAACAAGAATAGAGATGGAGAAATTCTGCTTCAGTTCCCAAAACTTACTCCAAACTTGAGTATTTTTGTTCGTGGTTTTTATTAGAAACTGCTCTAGAGCTTTCTTTGGAGGATAAAGATAGTGAAAGATAATAGGGCAAAAATAGGTGCAATAGATTTAGTGTGCTTTCCTTTTTCTTAATCTAGAAATTGATCATTTTTATGGCTATATTTAAAGTCTTCACGTAAGCAGGCTTTCAAATGATGCATATAATAAAAGAAATAGATTGCCCTCAGACTTTTTATTTCCTATAGAAAGAAAAGCACTAAAAATTTCTTGTTTCTAAATTTATGCAGCTTGTACCATGGCCATGCTCACTTAAGAAAAGTCTGTTAAAACCACATTGACATCCAGAACATACGGTTATATTCAAAGGGCAGCTGACACTACAAAAGATTTTTGTTTGTTTGCCTGTATGTGTGTGTTTTAAGTAAACGGTAGTAACTTTTCTTACTGGGTTTGAAATAGGATTTTATTTATACAACTTTATGAAAGCACATTGACATATAAAAAAGTTTACCTATGTTTGTTAAGCCACTTTTATGTTCTCATATAGTAGTAGCAAATAATATGAAAACATTTGTTAAAGTCTACAACTTTGAATAGTTTTGGAAATGTAAAGAGACATAATGTCATTCAAATTATAGTCTGGATTATGTAAAATTATTTAATGTAGCTGGAATAGACTGAGTTCCCTCAAAAATTCTGAGTTGGGAAGGGAAAAGATTGTCTTGTGTTAGAATAAGTGGCCATTGCTACCCTAGCTCATGTGTTGTGGATATTTTAAAGCAAACAGAAAGGGAATTTGATATTCTTGTTAAACTTGAGGACAGAAATGTCATAATGAAATGTGCCTGGAGTAGCTATGGTATTTCTATGGTGTATATATTTAGGATTATAGCATGACATATTTCAAATAAGAATTTTAACTGATGACAGTTGTTTGTTTGTTTTTTTTGGTATGGGGGAATCAAACTCAGAACCTTGTTCTTGTGAGGCAGGCACGGTAAGGCACAGTGTTACTGAGCTAAATCCCTGGCCCTTATGACAGTTTTATAGCCTATCTGTAGTAGTATTTGAAACAGCTTTATATTACTGTCAATTTCCTGTGTTATAGCATCAAGATCCTTGCACAGACTGGCTTTTGGAGGTGGGGGTAGAAACTAAATATGCATGCTTTATCCCTGCTTCTGAAGTTTTTCAAAATGAGAGAGAAAATAGGTATTTTCTATGTTTCAAATATATTGAAACAAGTTTTTTGGTTAAATTTAGGAAAACGATATATTTCTCACATGCTTCTGATACACATTTAAATTTGAGTTAGAGGAGTAATTTTTTTGCTTACATGTTTGTATGTACTAATATTTTTAAACATTTTTTGGTGTTGGGATGGGGTTTTAGCTCAGTGGTTCTGCCGCTTGCCTCACAAGCACAAGGACCCGAGTTCGATCCCCACTACCAAAAAAAAACCAAACAACAACAACAACAAAAACATTTTTGGTGTTGCCTAAATCAAATCTAAAAGTGAAAATTTTTCTGAGGTAGCAGTAACTTCCTGCATTATATTGATATCATCAGACCAGACAGCAAACATTTATTAAAACAGGTATTGGAATAGAATGTTCCTGCTTTTCATAGACAGTTTCATTTAATGTAGGTCTAAGAGTCAAATTGTGTGTGTGTTTGTGTGTGTGTGTGTGTGTGTGTGTGTCTGTTTATGTGTGTTATATCTATCTGGTTGTAATTGAATGAATGAAAGTCATTTGTGTCAGAAAAGACATATCCACTTTTGGATTCACTGGTTGGAAATTAAACTTGCTTTATGTGGTTGTTTTATAAACCTTCAATTCTTTGTGTTAAATTTATTCCATAAAGATAAAAGTCAAACATGGTGCTGTACCTGAATAGCACCACAGCAAATCAACTAATATCTCATCCTTATCACTTAACAATGTTACTCTACCTTTTCAATATAAAATTTAAAAACTATAAAAATTTATAATATGGACAGAATCTAGGAATTCCTAAAGCAAAAACTGTGGCAATTAGGTGGTTATTTGTATGTTAGTAAATGAGTGGTCCTTGGAAAAGTATGTATAGATGAAAGAATAAACAAAAAAATGGAAAATAATTTTATAGTTTTTAATAGCTGGCTTTTATATAGGCAATTGTTCATACAAATAGTAACCAATTAATAATGGCAATTATTGATCTTCACTGTGAGTCAGGATCATCTCAATGGTAACATTTGTATAAATTGTATGAAGTTTGTATAAATTTGTATAAAATTTAGAAAGAAAGTAATTGAAAGTTTCTGTTCCAGTGATATAAAGTTAAATCTGGACCCCCTAAATGAAATTCTTAAAGTACACTCATTCTTTTTACACATGGACCTGTAATTCATAGGTAAAGGCCGAATGAAACAAGAGCTGACTATAAGTATATATAATTAAATAATAATTAGCAATTCTTGCCACCTATACCTCTTCCTCCTTCATTGAGAGTTAGTGTGGTAATGAGCCCCTTTTATCTGTGGGAACCTATGGTATCCCTGACTGAAGAATGAGTAAATAATGTTTGTTTAAGAAGTACCTAAACTATGATCTATGTTAATTTTCCTCATTTAAAGTAATGGTTGAGTAGATTGTAGCTTTGACTGTATATTCCTGAACATAAACCTTTTAATTTGCTGATGATCAGTAATTTTTTTTCTTTAATTTTATTGGTACATTTTATGTATACAATGTAATGGCATTCATCATTGATTTGTACCTTTACATAATATATCTTCATTCTTATTTTTTCCCCATTCCCCTGCCCTCCCTTTAACCGCTCCACCTCTCTCTATTTACAAAGTCTTTGTTTCTATTTTTTCATTTTCTTATATTAATTTAGTTCCCTTCTTTCCTTTCCCTTACCCCTTCCACTTCCCCTTCCCCTTTGCACCTTTTCTTCCTATTTCACATTTTCTATTACACCTTTTACTCCTTATTTACACTTTCAGTTTCTCACACTAGAGTAACTATTCAGTATATACACACACGTGTGTCCTATTTATTTCACTTAAGACTGTCACCTCAATGTGCAACCATTTACCTATAAATGTTGGGCCGGGGATTTAGCTCAGTGGCATCATGCCTACCCCACAAGCCCAAAGTCCTGAGTTCGATCCCCAATAGCAAAAAAAAAAAAAAAATCTATAAATGTCTCTAATGTCTCATTATTAATGGCTGAATAGTACTATATTTTAGTTTTTAAAAAGCTCACATTTTCATTGTCCAGTGTCCAGTTGATGGGCACTTGGGCTGTTTCCAAGCTTGAGCTGTTACAAACTATGCCGCTATAAACATTGGTGCGCATATATTGCTGTGGTATGATTCTTTTAATTCTTTTGGGAAGATACCCAGCAGGGGAATAGCTAGGTCAAATGGGACCTCTAATCCTAGTTTTTTGAGGGATCTTCATATTCATTGCCACAGTGGTTGCACCAGTCTGCATTCCCACCAACAATGGAGAAGGGTTCCTTTCTCCCCACAGCCCGGCCAGAATTCGTTATTGGTTGATTTCTTGAGAGTTTGTTTGGAGGTTCTAGCAGGGGAGCGCAGCTACTCGTATACCCTTGACGGAGGAAACGGCCCTCCTCTATCGGGGGTGGTCGTCCTCTTCGACCTGGCGCGCAGCTTCGGGAGGGACGCACAAGGAGCAGTGAGGGAGGAAGGGGACACCCGCCTAGCCAGCCAGATCAGCGGAATCAACCTTGGCGATCAATGGGGTGACAGATGTCGCAGCCAGATCGCCCTCACATCCTATTGGTTGATTTCTTGAAAGCAGCCATTCTTTCTGGGGTGTGGTGGAATCTGTGTGTTGTTTTCATCTGCGTCTCTCGAATGACCAGTGATGTTGAACATTTTTTCATATATTTATTGGCTTCTTTTACTTCAATTTGTATAGAGGTGACTGGATGTTTTAAAGGAAGCCTGACGGAATAGAGAAGAGGGTAAATGGGGGCTCAAATAGATTCAGGAAAGTGAAAAATTACAAAAAGTGGGAAGTGGGTGGTTTTTTTTATGTGAAACCAACCTGGGTTTACTACCTGGCACTTAATGGAAGTTAGGCTTCTGCCCTCTCACAGAGTCTAGGAAACAGCGCCCTGTCTTCAGGGGTTGGCCAAAATAATAAATTCTTTTGGTAGCCATGAGTTTTCTGAGGCAGGCTCTGTAAGAGAATCATTTTAATGAGGTGTCCATTGAGCTCTTAGAAATTATGTTTATATTTTGTTCGAGTCTTTATAGGTTAATGGTGACGCCTACTAGAGAAGAGCTCACAGGAGAGTGACTAGAGTTTGGTCAAGGGGAGAATTTTTTTTTAGCATGCATAAAAGTTAAGACTTTGCTCAAGAGGTACAGTGGTGGCTTGGATGAGAGGTAGCAGTATACATGGGAACAAGTAGATGAGTGTGGGGAATATTATAGAGGCGGGCCGAGATGACTTGCTCTTGAATTGTTAATACTCCCTGTGGAATTGTTCGAAAAGGTCTCTTTTTCTTTTATAAAAAAAAAAAAGTGAACAGATTTTGATGTATTTCCTCTAAATATAGGGTCAGGGATTTAGCTCAGAGGTGCCACCTCCTGCCTCGCAAGCACAAGATCCTGAGTTTGATCCCTGGTACCAAAAAAGAAAAAAAAAAAAAAAGATTTAAAAAAATGTTAAAGGTCTAGAGATTTAACTCAGTTCGAAGGTCTGGATTCAATCCCCAGTACCTCCTCCTCCTCTAAATATATGTTGGGTTTTTTGCTATATAGTGCAGGCTGGCCTTGAATTCACTGTGTAGCCCAGTGATCCTCTCAGTGCTAGAGTTATAGGGATGCACCACCCTACTTGAGTTATATGGTTTGTGTTTTTTTTGGTACCGGGAATTGAACTCATATCCTTCCTCTTGCAAGGCAGGTGGCGGAACCACTGAGCTAAATCCCCAGCCCAATATGGTTATTTTTTAAAAGACAAAAGATATATGTAACTCTTGACAGCAACTTCTGTATAAAATAAAAATATAAAATATATCTTGTCTGGCATACACCAGCATTTTGAATTGTAACTTTTTCTGTATAATTAGCTTCTTACTATTTTAAGTTTCTTAGCATTTTACATATATCCTCATCCTAAAAGTTTAGACAACCTAATCTTTTAAAATATGGTACATTGGGCTGGGGATTTAGCTCAGTGGTTCCACCACTTGCCCCGCAAGCTCAAGGACCTGAGTTCGATCCCCGGTACCAAAAAAAAAAAAAAAATACGGTACATTGTTTTAAATGACTTGAAAATATAAACTTTAGGAATGAAGCAATATTTGGAGAGATAATGGCTATAAATAATATTTGAATTAATGAAGGACAGGAGTCCTTAGATAGTTTTAAATGTTATTTCTAGTAATAATGATACATTTTTAACTGGCCTATTTGGCCACTTCTGTCCAGATGTCATTTTGTAAAGTGTTGCTAAGTTTTTGCCGTGGAGTATTAGTGTCTAAGAGTTAGTGATGCTGTGAAGAAAGTATTTCTGTGACTAGTTTTCTTCTTGAGGCATTTGAAATACATTGTCAAGAAAAAAACTATTAAAAAAAAAAAGAAAAAGACTATTCAACTTCTTTCAGAATGTGTAGGGACTATAAGGTCATAGATTAAAAATAATAATGAAAATAATTAATAATTATTAATATTAAAATTAATAATTAATAATTAAGAATAATATGTGCAATTTTAACAAAAAATTAATACCTTATTCATTTAATCCAACTTTAGTATTTTCTCTTTCTGTGTCATGAAATCATTATTTATTTTTCCTCTGGTTTTCACTGATTATTCTTTTCCTGTTTCTTATTCATAGTCTTCTAAAGAACAGCTATAATTTCAAGTCACTTAAAATGGTTTATTCATCTTATGTTTAAAAAGTAAAATGAAACAAAACAAACATCTCCCCTTGCTTTCTTTCTCTTTTCTTCTAGTTTATTTCCCCCTACTTTTGCACCATCTCATCAGCAAATTTAAGTGAGCTCTTGGTGAAAATAATTATTCTGATTTCCCACATGGGATAACTGTTTTGTAGGCTACAGTGAGGCAGAAGACAATCTGCCTCCTCCTCACAAGTCAAGCATTAATTCTAGTCTGCCTTACAGTTTTGTGATCTCAGTGTTCCCTGGTCATTTACTTTCAACAGCCTCATTAATGAGAAAGTGCGTGTGCGCGCTGGGAGGATGATGTGGAGAGGGCTTCTAGGCAACTTTCCCCTCCTACTAAATACACACCCACCAGCATGTACATATTCCCACTGCCTTTAAAAAGTGTACTTTCTCCTTTAGAAACTCTTTATAGTAGCCTCTATTTATAACCTCATTTTTAACATTGTGACATAAAAATAAAGGGATGTATATATTTGAGATATAAAACTTGCTCCTTTAAGGTTCTTATTTTTCTAGGTGCCAGACTGCATTTGGGGACATCTTTATTAAATTGTTTTACGTATCTTCTATAAGTTTCTCTCCTTATAGTCATCCATATAAGAATTTTAGACTAGTAACTTTTACTTCACATTGCATAATAAAATTTTTCTACTTGTTTTTTACATATATTTGCTGCTGATGCATGTATTATTTTATCAAGATACAAATTTTTATCCAGGAACTGTTCACATTTTCTGTGCACGTTTCCATATACAAAAATAAATTTTAGCTGGTTTTAGTCTTAGTTCAATAAGCTAAATTTTTCTTTATAGTCATTCTTAATGTGTCTTGAATATTAAATTATGTTTGTATATTGTTATTTAGGTGACTATTATATGGTTAAAAAGATTTTGGAGGAAAACAGTTCAGGTGACTTGAACATAAATTGTGTAGATGTGCTTGGGAGAAATGCCATTACCATAACTATTGAAAACGAAAACTTGGATATACTTCAGCTTCTTTTGGACTACGGTTGTCAGGTACAAGGCTAGATAATTTTATCTAGAAGCTTCTAAGAAATGTTAGATATGCCATGTTTTCATCTTTTCAGTTTACTTTTTATTTTTTTCCTTTCTCTTTCTTTCCTTCACCTTTTATTTGTTCGAGCACTAAGAAATTTAAAATACAGACCAAAAAAGCCATTTTAGTGTGATGTTTTGATTTATCTTTTCTCTCGTCATCTTTCCCTACATCTGATAGAGGTAATAACTTTGTTTTTATTACCTGTATTACCTATATATAATATTATTATATTATATTGGATTATATACCTAAAAATAGTACAAGTGTTCTTGAAGTGTCAGAGGGACAGATGTTTTTCATGGCCCATGTTATTTACAGGCTTACAAACAAAATGTTCCTGATTCACAATTTTCAGTTTGTCTTAGTTCTCTTCTAAGATTCATTAAACTGTTTTCATTTTAAATTTAATATTTACTTATGTATAAAGATCATTGATTTTTTTTTAAAAACTGGAAAAGATAAACCTTTGTATTTGGCTTATATCATTTCAGATAGAAAAGCAGACATGCATATACATCTCAAAAGAATTCAGTCTAAAGATTCTGAAGGAAATTTAATAATAACACTATTTTCCTCTCCTTTTTTGGTTGGACTTATGTTGTCTCTTAGCAAATGAATTCTAGTGTTGTTTTTTTTTTTCTTAATGGGACATAGTTTTTGAGTGATATCAGCAAGCACTCACAGCAGGCTTTCTGAATATAAGTTGGTAATTCTGTCTCCGTCTCTATTATATGTATATATTATACCATATGGTACTATGTGACATAGTACCATATTCTTAGAATAAAAAAAGAAGTTGCTGAACTTAGCAAGCTCAGCTATCCAGAACACAACTGAGAACCATAAAGTAAGTGAAATGTACCTCTGAGCAGCCAGGATAGCTATGATGAAGTTTTCAAATTAAATTTAGTTGTAGAACCATTTCAAGAGCCCACCTTCAAAGTCTGTTTTTTGTTTTTCAATTTAGATCCCATTTTAACAAACTTAATTTCTTAATCCAGAGATAATTAGAAGAGCATAGGAAGGGTCATTAGAGCTGCAGAACAACAAAATGAGGCAAAGTACTTTGGACACTATTTAGTGAAGTCAACAGCATTCATATCTGATTATCTCTGAGGGAGCTATGAATTAGAATGGTAATTAAAATTTATAATAATGGCCTAGAATCAGTAAGGGAAAGTTAAATTATATTCAGTACCTATTATTTTAAAAGAAGAATATACTTATATAGTACTCTGAAAGTAGATTTCCATCAAATGGTTCACATTTTAATGTTAAACACTTAAAGGCATAAGCTTCAGTTATTTAGAAAATAAGGTTATAAAGAAATTCAGTCCCTGATGATTCTGGATAAAAGAGGTATTATGGTATAATAACTATATTTTTGTATATATGGTTATATGTATATAATAATTCTGCCACATTCATGGTTTTTTTCACATTCTTGATTGCATTCAAACATCAGTGTCAACCTGTGTAGATGTTCTTTATTTATTTATTTATTTTTAGATGTTCTTTTATAAATCAAAAAACTGAGGCTCATAGACTTTAATGAATTGCCCAAAGTTCTAAAATTAGTAAAGGTAAAGCTACAATTTTCATCTTCTGACTGCAAATCCCATGCTCTTTCTAGGCCAACTATATCTTATTCTGTCAGTCAATGTCCAGGGCATTTAGTTTGGTGTAAGATTATTGAAATGAAGGAAAATATGGATTCTTTACTAAAGGATTTTAAATGCTTTAGACAATTAAAGTGAATATGAATAATACAAAAATGTATTTAAGTGCTGACTGAGTAGTAATAATGCTTGACCTTGTATATTGCTTTACAGTTTTAAAGAACTTTCTTGTATTTTATCCTGTGTTACGTCAGTGTTTTTCAGTCGAATGATTTTGTCCTCACCAGTGGACATTTGGCAGTGTCTGGAGACATTTCTGGTTTGATTGGAGGAAGGTTACTACTGGTATCTAGTAGGTAGAAGCTAGGAATGCTGCTGAGCATCCTACAACATATAGGATAGCTACCACAGGCTGGAGATTTAGCTCAGTGGCGCTGCTCCTGCCTGGCAAGCACAAGGTCCTGAGTTCTATCCCTGGTACAAGGGGGCAAAAAAGGGATAGCTACCACAATTTAAAAAAAATATCTGGCCCAAAATGTCAATAGTACACTGAGAATCCCTATTTTATACTTAAACATTTATTATTCAGTATGAATATTTTATAAATACAGAAAAGGTGAAGACGGTTGAGGGTTGGATCAATTTGGAAAGGTTTTATTGGAAGAGCGTCAGTTGAGCTCAGCCTTGAAATATTGCTAACATATAGTACTCTTCTGTGCCAACAACTTTAAATATATTCACTTACTTAATCCTCACAACAGCCTTATGTTTTAGCTGTTATTATCCTTATTTTATAGAGGAGGAAACTGAAGTTCAGGAAGATTAAATAATCCTTATAGGTATAAGGAACAAGGGTGTAGAGAAGGATGTAAACAAAGACAGGTGCAATGTGTATGTTGTATATATGTGTGTGTATTATATATATAACAATATATTTATATAACATATATATATATAATATAAATATATTTTAAGCTCTCCTTGAACTCACTACATAGCCCAGGCTGGCCTCAAACTCACAGCAATCTTCCTGCCTCAGCCTCCTGAATGCTGGGAATACAGGCATGTACCACCATGCCCAGTACAATGTATTCTTGAGACAGCTTTTTTTTGTATTTGTACTTTTTAAATTTTTTAATGATTTTTAAATTTTTAGTTTATTAGAATATGTGTATAGTTCATAATGTTTATGTTTCTTGTGGGAAGTTGGTACATATACATAACACATTCCAGTTCCTTTTATTCATCTTTTATCCCTTCCCTCCCTCACCCCTCCCTCCATCTCTTGGTCTCCTTCTCCTTTGAGAACCATCTGTCTTCCTACTTCCTATTATCTTTTGTTTTAATCTTTATGTTTACTCTGGGTTTCTCTTGACAGCCTTTTTGAACAAAATATTTGAATCAGAGAGTAATGGAAATTACAAGGAAAAATAACTAAAAGCTGATGAAAAAGGCCTTGAATACTAGGCTGAAGAATTTGGGTTTGTATAATAGTGTGAAATCATTAAATAAATTTTGAGAAAGGGTGTGATATGTGTCAACTATTTAGAAAGATAAATCTTGTAGCTGAATTTAGTATAGATTAGAAAAGTAGGGAAGACTATAGCCCTTATGAGCAGTTTTCATAGTAATCCAGATATGAAGATGTTTAGGCCTAAACTCAAAGAGTGGCTGTAAGAAGATGGGGAAAAGGCAGATATGAGAGATGTTATAAAGGAAGAAGTGACAGATATTAGGGAATTTTTAAATTTGGAAGGAAGAATTGAGAAGGAGTCTAAGATGATTTGGAAATCTTAAACATGGGTAACTGGGAGGAGGATGAAAAAAAAAACAAGTTGTGAAGAGAAATCAGGCTTGGGGCAAAGGAAAATGATTTCTGGTTTTAGACCTGATGATTTGGAGGCTATCAGGCAGCTCCCAACAAATAACCACAGGTGAAAATTGCATCTCTAGGGAGTGTCAGGCTAAAGAGATACAGTAGCCAGGTATGGTGGCACATACCTGTAATCTCAGCTACTCAGAAAGCTGAAACAGGAGGATTCAAGTTTGAGGCCCCACCTAACTTGCCTGGGAAAGTTAGTCCAGGAGGACTGTGGTTGTAGCTCAGTTGTAGAGTGCTTGCCTAGTATGTATGAGGCCCTGGGTTCTGCAAAATCCTAGTGCTGCAAAAATGACTACGTAGATAGGTAAAGACATAGATATAGTAGGCAGTCATAGGTATGAGGAGGAACACTGGCATCAATAGAATTAGAGAAAATTATGCACATTGATTTGAGAAGTTTGACACAGTGAAAGCAAGAGGAAAGTGGTAAGACAAAGATAGGATGAATTAAATTAGTAAAGAGTGAGAAAGGATTTAAAATTGAAGTGGGAGCTGACACTGGTATTTCTGTCAATGAAGAACCAAGCTCCTATAGAAGATTGGGGGGCTTAAAATAGAATATTAAGATGGAATATATGTTTGGAAGGGAAATAACTGTTTCTTTTACTTAAGGGGGAAAAGTATGGGAATTGTTGAAAAGAGGAATTCTGAGGTGAGAAGGAAAGTAGTGACTTCATATATACATAATGTTATTGAAATGCTATTGAAAATGTTCTAACAAGGAATGGTCAGATATCTGAGAAAGTAAGGGGGAAAAAAACAGTGAGGATATTTTGTATACTTGTAGATATTTGTAAAATAATTTAAGATATTTTTGTCTAACAACTGCCATTTGTTTATCAAATAACAATCTATATAGAATAAATCAATGGTAACTTTATTTACATGACATTTTTATATAAATATTTTTATAGCTGAAGCTTATCCTTTTAAGCATTGAAAGATTTAGTGTAGGTCTGTAATCTTTACTAAGTAGTATATCTGAATATAATTTAACTTTACCCTGATAAGTTGGAGTCATTGAGAATGTAATCATTTTACTTTGCTTCATCTAGTCCAAAATTCTTATCATGTTTATCCTTACATTAAATGTCTTCAGATTGCTATTGTTAGTAATTTTATTATACTGATTTTTTTTTTCCCCCAGTGGTCAAGTTCTAGCAACTTTTTTTCTTTCTTCCCCTGTCCTCTTTGTTAGTTTTTATCTAGCTGTTTCTTTATTCAGTAAAGATCTGAAGATTAGTTAGGAAGGCCAGAAATCTGTCACATATAGACAATTCTCAGTGTGCATAGGCCTTTTTCTTTTGGGAAATGATGCCCATGAAGTTAGTTTATGACAGCTCTTTTTTTTTTTTTTTTTGTATTTGGTATGTTTTACATTGGAGCTGGATCCATGGCTGTTTCAGATGGTCAAAGTTGCTGTTTGAGAGCAGTGTCATTGTTTTAGTTAGTTTTATAGATTAAAACTAAACATTATAGATGATATTGAATACTAATGGATACAGGGTCTTTTTGTTTGCTTCAACTGACTAAATATGCTGAAACTGAAGAAAATGTTAACAAAACAGAAAAATAATCCTAGAACTTAAAGGCAAGGGCTATAACCCAATTAATTCTAAAATTTTAAAGGAATGAAACAATGGATTAAGGAAATTTTTCTTATTGGAAAACATAGGTAATTCCTAATGGTTGAATGAGGAGCTCAGTCCTTTATTGAGGGTGTTTAGTCCTGTTTCTTGATGTCTAGGTAAAGTGGATAAAAGCTTTATTTTTTCAACTGCAAAGAATATAAAAAATCAAATACAGTTTCATTCCTGAGAGCATGAGTCTTGGTTGATTTAAAAAGTATAAATTGAATGTAATCAGGGTGTTTTCTTAGGTTAAATCATTATTTCCATGTTTTGCTTCTGCTTTTATGGTGTTCTTTAAAAAACAACAAAAAATGCAAAGAAAGGTTGCTGATAGCGCTATAAGCTTTGTTACAGAGAGTTGAAAAGTCCCCATTTCTTCTGAGTCAGTTTACTTTTGCCTCCTGTCAAAAGTGAATCTTTACAGAGAGCTAGGTATAGGTTGGGAGTAAAACTAAACAGTTACTTGTCCTTCCTATTCTATGAACTTTAATAACTTCTTTGTTATTGCTACGTGATAAAGATTGCTAATATTAATGTCAGATTTGTACCGTGTCATTTGGTTGTGTGTTCTAATTATGAGAACAGAGAGCTCTCTGTATTTTCCATTCTCCCTTATTCTCATGATTGTCTCAATAGTGATCATTTTAATTAGTCTAAGCATGATCCTTTAGCTGTAGTAATAGTTTCTGGCAATTACTTTTATAGATTTGGAAATTTAAGAGTTTTTTTGTCCACTGTTCAAGAATAAATATCTTGAAAAGAAAACTCAACTTTAAATACTGCACTGTAGTAAATCTATTCAATTAGTAATCCCTACTATCAAGCATTCATTATTTTACCCCTTCATGCATTGAAATCAGGAGAGAAATGTGTGTATTGTACACAGAAATACTGCTAAGGCAAGCAAATGTACCACTTGTACAAGTCTAAATTTTTGAAAATTCAGTATGTCTATATATAATACAGTTAAAAAATTTAAGTAACTTTATTTATAAATTAGTAAGAATAAATAGTACACCTTTTTATCTTCCATTTTCATTTTTAACTTTTTTTTTTTTAAAGTCTGCAGATGCACTTTTGGTGGCAATCGACTCTGAAGTAGTGGGAGCTGTTGATATACTACTTAATCATCGAGCAAAACGATCATCAAGACCAACTATAGTAGTTAGTACTCTTAAGTATTTACTAACTTGGATTTTAAACCAAAGTAGCTCTCCTGCCCTGTTGCCATTTATTCTTCCCCCAAATTTGTTTTGGTTTTTTTGGAAACAGAATTTTTTTCACTTTGTAAAGTATAACTTTAAATAGACTGTTGGAAGGATAATTAGTATTGCTTTCAGGAAACTTTTTAAAAATTAGTTGATATTTCTATAATTTTGTCAACAATGACCAGTGTTTTAAGTTTGGAATATTTTGCAGGTGATGTTGAAAATATCATTAGTTTCCAGATAGGTTAAAGAATTAAATGTAAATAATGAAACCATAAAACTGAAAGAAAATACAGATGAATATTTAACTATTTGGTAGTGGAAGGAATTTTTTAAGCATAAAAATGGGACAAAAATCATGGAGGCATTGTGACTAAAATAGAAATTAAATTTCTTAAATTCAAACAGGCAAAATTTGGGCCGGGGATTTACCTCAGTGGTTCTGCTGCCTGCCTTGCAAGCGCAAGGTCCCGAGTTCAATCCCTGGTACCAAAAAAAAAAAAAAAACCCCAGGCAAAATTTAAAGAGCAGTGGATAATTGGCAAAAGATATTTGCAGCAAATATCTCTAATTAGTAATATTAATACTAGATAAATTGATAGGAAACACTGTAATCATAGTAGAAAAGGACATGAGAAAATCCAAAATACTGTACTAAACCTTACTAATAATCAAGTATAACATACTACGTTTTGCTCATCAAATTAGCAAAAATTTTTTAAATAGAATCTCAGTATGTTGCCAAGACTGGTCTTGAACTTGTGGACTCAGGCAATTCCCCACCTCAGCTTCTTAAGTAGCTGGGATATGGATGCATGCAACCACTCCCTGTTCAGCGAATATTTAAAAAAAAAACAGTAATCATTGATGACAAGGGAGTAATATAGGTTTATACATATACTACTGGTGGGGCAAGCGGTATCATAAACAAGAAAAGTGCTTAACTTAATTCTTTCTCCTCTTGAAATCTATGAAGCAAATGCCCCCCCACCCAAAAGAAGACAAAACTGTTGATTACAATCTTATTTGTAGCAGTGGGAAAAAAAGTAATACTATTCTAAAAGTAGCTGGGGTAAGGGTAAACATCCTAAAAGAGATTGAAAATATGAATAATTAGAAGTACAACATAATATGCAGTCATTAAAATGATATTTTAGAAACAATTTTCAGGAATATAGAAAAATAAATATTAAGTGAGGGAAAAATGGGGATAGTGAATTGTACATATAATTTGGCCTAAGGTTAAAAATAATGCATTTAAAGAGATTGTATGTAAATACAACAAAATATTACCTTACAGTGGTCATCTCTTATTGATTGACCAAATTAAGGACTTTTCCTTGTTTTTTAAATTTTTCTTTATTGCTTGTATAATTAGGAAATTAATCAAATACTAACTTAAAAAGTGAGATACTTGTTGGAATTTTTTTTTTTTTTTGGTATTGGGGATCGAACTCAGGCCCTTGCACTTGCGAGGCAGGCAGCGGAACCACTGAGCTGAATCCCCAGCCCACTTGTTTGAATTTTTTAAATTATAAAACTTATTATTGGTGAAAACATAGTGAAACAAGCAGGAGTGTAAACAGAAGAAAAATATAATTTAACAGAATAATTATAAATTAGTAGCAGACTTTCTGCCATGATCTGATAACTATGAGAAGTTCTGCCAAATTTCATACTTTCATCATGTGTTTCCTGAAAAACTACTCATTTAGATTACTAAAAAAAAATTGTTACTTGCTGGGCTAGTGATGCAGCCCAGTGGTAGAGTGCTTGCAAGGCCCTGGTTTGATTGGTAGCACCACAAAACAAGACAACAACAAAAATGTGACTTTCTCCAGAGGATAGTACCACCTAGTCTAACTAGTGATAAGAAACCAACAACAATAAAGAAAAAAAGGCTAAGCATATAGTTCCAGAGAACTAGAAAGATCTAAATTTTTGTCAGTTTTCTGCCATTTACCTTGTAGTTATGGTCACATTTTGGTATGCCTTCGATCTAGTCTGTAAGCCATTTCATTTCTTGGCAGGAAAAGTGAAATACAGTATGCTAGATGTTGGAACTACTTTAAATGGTACTCTTAGAAAAAACACTTTCTAGAGCCGGGGATTTAGTCCAGTGGCACTGTGCCTACCTCGCAAGTGCAAGGTCCTGAGTTCGATCCCTGGTACCAAAAACAAAAAACAAACAAAAAAAACCACTTTCTACTCTGTCTTTAGCAAATAATGATTATTCAGCCTTTATTCGGATACTTGCAATGACGGTAACATCACATTGTAACAGCATTTTTACTTCTACACAGGCAATATTGAATTAATTCTATATGCTTACTTTTACTATTTCAGTGAATTAATTCTGTATTCTTGGCTTGTCAAAATTATTGTTTTTGCAGTTGACTTTCAAATACATGTTTACTTGGTAGTATTAGATTATGTTATGAGCAGTGAAATTATAAACCTTAAGCTTATGCATGTATAATGCTTTTCATGTAGTTAAATAAACTGTATGGGAAACATGAAGGCTCCTTTTCTATTAGTTTTTCTTTTGGGATTAAATATAATCTTCTCTTCTATATGACCAGTAATGCAACAAGAGGGAAAAAGGCTAATTTAAGGATTCTCTGTAATTGTTAAATAATTTCATTCATTTGAATTCTCTAGTAAATAAACAAAGTATATAAACTAACTGTTCATAAAAGGAGAAAAACAGATAAGTATATCAGTAAATATTAAAACTTACCAGTAACCAAGTGAAAGTAAATTAAAATTTCATAATAATATATTTTCACTCAAATTAGGAGTGATCATACCCAGTGCTGGTGAGTAAAGCTTTAGTATGAAATGGATGCGTCTTATGTTATTGGTTTTATATAAATTATTAAGAGGCTTTTGACATTATGTATCAAGAGCTTCAAACCTTTGTGGCTGGTAGACCTATAATTTTACTTCTTAATGGTCTATGTTAATGAGATAATCCTAAATTTGCAAAATACTGTTTTCATAAAGATATTTGCTATAGTATTTTTTTAATTAGCAAAATATCTTAAACACAGAGTCAATGACCTTTTTTATATTGCATGAAAAATTCTGTGCATGAATTTTTCTCTGCGAAGATCCTGGGCTACAGCCTTGTAAAATTACTAAAAGAGTCCTTGATCTTTGAAATATTAAGAGCCATTGTTTTTAACCACTGATGCTTAACATAGCTGTTTAGGCAAAAGATGATGTTGAAAAGGTGTTTGGTGGAGGAAAAACTAGAAGGATATACTGTACTGTAAAAAGTTATTTGGTAGAAGGAATATGGGTATTTTTATCCTTCTTTCTGCTTTTCTGTATTTTTCAGATATTTTATATTGAGTGTACACTACTTTTATAATGTTAATAAAAATTACCAAAATGTGAACTTGATGAGCTTACACTGGAATCAAACAGCTCTCAGGGAAACCTCTGTGAAAAAGTGAGAAGTGTTGGAAAGAATATGCAATAGTCATAAAATAGTTAATCTTTTTATTTAACCCTGATTTTTTAACTATTAATATTTTTTCCTCATTTCATGTCATCATCAGGCCACTGGGCCTATGTAGTGGAAGGAGCTCAGGTTCCTGATTAATACAAACCTGGATTAATCATAATAATAGTAATATAGGGGCTGGGGATTTAGCTCAGTGGTTTCGCCGCCTGCTGCATGAGTGCAAGGACCCGAGTTCGAACCCTGGTACCAAAAAAAAATAATAATAATAGTAATACAAATCCACTCTATTGTGTGGCTTGGGCACATTAGCTTCTCTGAGCCTCAGTTTCTTTGTGGGGATTAATTACGCTCAGTTTTACAGGCTACTAGGGGGATTAAGTGAGATGATAAATGTAAAGTGCCTAATAGTTCCAGGACTCTTGTTAGTAGCTATGATTATTAGTGTTTTTTTGTATTTGTAATAGGAACCAGTATAGGCAATGGTTTGGAATATGTAGAGAATTGTACAACATGAAGAGTGCTTTCTTTTTCGGGTTGCTTCATTGCTTTAATGTGACAAAGTTTACCATAGAGGTGGAATTTTTAGTTTTTCTCATGTATTTGTACTCTGCCTATTTTTTTTTTAACATTTCTACTTTCCATTATATTCTTTTTCTAAAATTCTTGTTCTTTATCCTTGCCAAGCATGTTTCTATAATCTTGTAAAAACTAAATACTTTTTCCTAAGGTATTTCTCTAAATATCCTTGCTTCTTCTTTGGTAGGGAAACAGAACAAATATGAATGTTATCTATTGAGATTTTACCTGTTAGGATTATATTGCATTTATTAATTAAAGTTTTGAGGTTCTAAAAAATTCATTCCAAATAAAATGGTTTTTATATTTCTTTAAAAATTCTTAAATTCTTTTTGCCTTCCTATTTTTTCATTTCATCCTTAAGATAAATGTATTTTTTGAAATCACAAATAATAATTTTGGGACATTTATATAAATATTTTTCAGAAACTAATGGAACGAATTCAAAATCCTGAGTATTCAACAACTATGGATGTTGCACCTGTCATTTTAGCTGCTCATCGTAACAACTATGAAATTCTTACAATGCTCTTAAAACAGGATGTGTCTCTACCCAAGCCCCATGCAGTTGGCTGTGAATGCACATTGTGTTCTGCAAAAAACAAAAAGGACAGCCTCCGACATTCCAGGTTAGAAAATTAAGATTTTTGATAAATAGATTTGTGATATAGTAAGTGTATGTCAGTGATGTTAGCTTTTAAAAATTGGTATTCTCTATGCAGCTTTTAAGAAATGTGATAACAGGGGTGACGTAGGAAAACCAGATTGCTAGCTCCTTTGCTGATTAAGTTCTGAATTTTTCAGAAATGTTAATCAATGCTAAGTAATTAGGAAATGAATGAGATTCATCTCATACTCTTGGTGGATGGGGGTGCTATTTGCTTATCAGAAGCAGTTTATGAGTCCAAGAAGTTTCAAGTAGTAGAAGGAGTAGAGGTACCATTTTCTATCTTACTTATAAAGAGGTCAAAACAATGTTCTGGTCCATAGTCAGGCATGTTATCCTTTGTACCACTAGCCCACCAAACTATTTTGTTTAAATATTTGACCTATTTGATCTTCTTCTGTCCCCTCTTAGACAATATTTGTCTTTATTTTTTCTATTCATCATCTCTTCCTGTTTCCCTGCTTGAAAATGTTAAGAACAGTGTTGACATGATTGATCAAGAAAGTATCCTGTCATGTACAAGTTGAGTACAATCACAAACATGGGCATAGTGTATAAGATGTGTGGGTCTAAGATTTGAGAATCTTGATTTTTGGTACATGTCTTTGGTATGGTTTTCTCTACCAAACCTCATGTTGAAATCTGACTCCCATTGTTGCATTGTTGAGAGGTGGGGCCTTTGGAAGGTAGTTGGGTCTTGAGGCACTTTATAACAACAAATAAATGTCTTTCTCAAAGAGACTGTTTGTTCTTTTGAGCCTGGATTAGTTCTCATGGTAATGAAAGAGCCTACATCTCCCCTCTGCCTCTCTCACACGTGTGCTTTCTTCTGCATGTGCCTATTTTTGCTTCTTGCATGAGCCACAGGCAGAGCAGACACAGGCATTATGCTCTTGGACTTCTCAGAACTATTTTAAATAAATTACCCATTCTGATAAAACATGACATTAGCCTTTATATATACAGTGGTACCTTGGTTCACGAACACTTTTGTTTGCAAACAGTTTGGTTCACAAATAAAAGCACTGGCAAAATTTTTTGTTTGGAACTCTGCATTAGGTGATTAACGCAGCCACAACTATCTTTCCCACAGGAACATAACCATGGCCATCTTTTCCAGAATCGTGGAATGAATTAAGTTCTTGAACGGAGGTACCACTGTACACGTAATTAAAAATAATAAATTATAGTAATTAAGCATACCATTTATATATGCAAATAATAATTAGGGTTGATACAATATCAAAGGTAACATCTACTCTGGAAAATAGACCTAGAAGTCCCAAGCAGCCTGTTGACAAACATTTTTCAAGTTAAAATTTTTGGATAGTATATAAAATAAAACTTAAACCTCCAAACCATTCTCTCCTTTATTTTATTCACATACCCCTGATGTATTGACAGTCACAAATCCATACATTGGGAAAGCTTTCTGGGAACCAGTTTAACATTTATTTGCAGAGGTTTAACTAGAAATGTTTTGTATTTTTAGGTCTTTTTTACAAAGAGATTTATTTTTCTCTTTGGTAAGATCTGATTTATAGCTATGGCTGTATCACTTTACTTTTTAGTTTTAAAATGACTGGTTCATAAAATGACAGGGAAAATTATCTTTAAGGCTTCTTCTAGTTGTAAAATCTTTCATTAAATGTAAATATTTTTCAAATCATATGCTTCTTAAATACATATGTAGTTGAAGCAGCTGGGGGTCACAGGTTGAGGCTGGAGAACACAGTCTGGCTTGGTTTAAGGCTGGAAAATAACATGTTCTGAAAGCATTTAAAGAAATTATGGCTTAAGATCTTTAAGAATGAACAAGAATTAAAAGGTGAAGTATTTTAGGCAGAAAGTACAGCATGTAATTGTGGTTTATTTGGGAACTACAAATGGTTAGGTATATTAGCAGAAGAGTTTGAGGGAGTTTATTACTGATTCTTGAGAAAATAATTATAGCAAATGGCAAAAGGCCCTGACTAACGTAATTTCCAGGAATTGCTAAGAAGAACTGCAGAAGAAAAGAAGGCTAACAAAATGAGTAAAAAGGGAAATGGGATGATTTCTATGAAGTTGAAGTCAATGTACTAACAGAAAGTAAGATGATCTGTATTTATATAAAATATTGTTTTTAAAACTTCAGATATGATGTAGTTCCAGGTGATTATAAAATCTTGGGGTAATATTTCCAGATGTAGTAGGGAAAGATAGTAGACCACTTGAGTTTAGAAAACATTTTCAGTAATATAATTGCTATGATTTAGTTTTAGTATCCATATTTTTTAGTATGCATATTTGATATATTTTGGATTTGCAAATAACTTTAAAAGAAGATATGAAATCTTTATTATCTATTAAAGGGAGGGAAACTTAAAAAACTTGAGAAATATTGGAATTAGGATAGCAAAGTAATAGATAGCCAGTTAGTTTAATTTACAATGGGCTTTGTTCAACTTCACAGTTTTTTTTAAATAATTTTTTTAGAGTGCACAATGTATACTCAGCTTTGCCTGTATCATTACCCATTTTACTTCTGAAGGCAAGTGAATTTGTAGAACTCAGATGGGTCCCTACCAAGTAGAGTGTAGGATGTTGATATGGTGAGCTCTGAGGTGAAAGTGGTTTTAGGAATATGGATTCTTCTGGCATAGTGGCAAGAAAATAGGCTGAGAGAAAGACTGCTCGATGCCATAGTCCTTAGAGTAACAGAGATCAAGAAATGGCAAGTGATGATGATAAGCAAATACTGGAATCATTAAATGTCATGAACCTCCAAAAAAAGTGATTTGAATTTCTCTAAAAATAATGGACGAATTGTGTAAGATTTAAGTATTATGAAATTATGCTTTCCTATTTCCAGTGTCTCTAATGGAACATATTGTTTGTTCTTATAAAACCTTAAATTGATTATATGTCCATGTTGGATCATATACTCATAATTGGATTATACAGTAATTTAAATATTTTTTAAGACAAAGTAACCTTCACACATGTCTTACATATGTGGGAACTTTGCTTCCAGTGGTTTTTTGTTGTTTTTTTTTTAAAAAACTACTCAGTTACACAAGAATATATGAATAAATTCTTAAATTTTTGTAAAAATTCTTTAACGTTGAACAGAAATCTCTTGACTAATCCAAATTTTCTATAGAGCCAGTGACTAGTAGCAGTTTGTCATTCTCTCTCTGCTCCTGTGGCTAATATCCCAAATAGTTAGAAATGTGACTCTTAACTGCAGTGTTAGTCTAGAAGCCAATCTTAACAATGACTGCCATTACATGTTGGAAACTCCCTCTCCCAGTTTCCACACAGTTTCCTCTCTTCTTTTATTCAGTTATTCATCTTGTTCAATGGCTTATCAAACTATCATACTCCAGCCAAATTCAGTGTGCCAGTGCTTTTGTAAATAACATTTTATTGAAACATACCTCTATCTATTCATTTTTGCATTGTCTGTTGCTGTCATTATGGTATAACAAGAGTTGAATAGGTGCCATATAAACTGTATGGCCTTCAAAGCCTAAATTATTGAATATCTGACCCTTTACAGAAAATGTCTGCTAAGCTCTGATCTAACTATAAACTTGTCATTTTATTGATCTTTTCTAAGAAACAACATTCATTCATTCATGTTCTCTATTTTTTTTCTACGTTACTGCTTCTGCTTGGACTTTTTCTTTTTGCTGTGTGTTTGATTTAATCTTTTTTTGTCTAGCTTCTTAAATTAGAAACTTGGCTTATGTTTTTCTAGATCTTGCTTCCTTTCTGATACAAGTATGTTCATGATACTTTCTCTTTGCTATGTGATTTTTTTCTTTGACTCATGAATAATTTTTTTTAAACTATAGATTTAAATTTTAGGGCAGTTTTAACAAATTTCACAAAACAATTCAGCAGGAAGTGCAGAGTTCCCATATTGTACCCCACCCCTTTCAAGTATTACCCACCATCAACATCCCCTACTGGTGTAGGGGATATTTGGGATATTTGTAGGGGATATTTGTTACAGCAGATGAACCAACTTTGGCACAACATGATCACTCAAAGTCTGTAGTTTACATTAGGGTTTACTCTTGAGAACTTGATTGGAGGTTCTAGCAGGGGAGTGCAGCTACCCACATAACCCTGACCGAGGAAATGGTCCTCCTCTATCAGGAGTGGTCATCCTCTCCGACTCAGTGCACAGATTCAAGAGGGACACACATGGAGCGATGAGGGGGGAAGGGAACACCTAGCCAGCCAGATCAGCCGAATCAACTCTGGCGATCAGTGGGGTGATAGATGTTGCAGCAAGGTTGCCCTCACATCCCAGGGTTTAGTCTTGATGTTATGCATTCTCTTGGTTTTGGCAAATGTGTAATGATATGCATCCACCATTATAAAATCATAGAGAATAATTTCACTTCTCTAAAATTTTTATGTTATATCTGTTTTACTCTTCTATCCTCCCAAGTCCCTACCAACCACTGCTGCTGTTTTAAAAACTATTTCCATAGTTATATCGTTTCCATAATATAATTATTCCATAATATAATTAAAATCAACCAGCATGCAGGCTTTTCAGATCAGCTTTTTTCACTTAGTAATATGCATTTAAGTTTCCTTCATGTCTTTCCATGGCTTAATAGCACATTTCTTCTTAGTGCTAAATGGTTTCCTATTGTTTGGATATATTACAGTTTATCCACTTACTTATTGAAGGACATCTCCATTGCTTTTAAATATTGACACTTTTTTTTTCTCTTAAATTCTTTTATTGGTACATTTTAGGTATACAATACATTTACATTTATCATTGGGTGCTTGTACCTGTACATGATGTATCTTGGTTCTTATTTTTTCTCCATTCCCTGTGCTCCCTTCAACCCCTCCACCCTTCCCTATTTACAAAGACTTTTGTTTCCATGTTTTCATTTTCTTATAATTTCTCCATTCCCTTTTTTCCTTTCCCCTTCCTCTCCCACTTCC